AGTAACAACAAAATAATTTTATAGTTGTGAGGTCACCATAACATGAGGTACTATATTAAAAGGTTGCAGCATGAGGAAGGTTAAGAAACACTGATCTAAGGACTAATAGAGACTATGAACTCTGAAAAACAAACATAACAATGAAAATTAAAGAGAGGAAATGGAAGTGGATCTCAGGAAAAATTTAGACATTCACCAACATGTGTGTGTGTGTGTGTGTGTGTAATTAGAGAGTGGGAGAAAACATAATGAAATACGTTGAAGAGACAATACAACAATATTAGAAACCTTTGTTTAAAAATAAACTTATGCCAGAGGCAGAGGTAGAGATAGACCGATCTCTGGGAGTTCGAGACCAGTCTGATCTACAAAGCTACACAGAGACACCCTGTCTTGAAAAATAAATAAACAAATAAATGAATGAAAAAATATATAAAAATAAACTTATACACACAGGAAACTAAGTGAATTACAAATATAAAAATTTAATAGGGTCCACTAGCATGTCAAAAATATTGAAAATAAAAAGCCAAATCAGATAAGATATAATTTCTTATTAAAAACAACAGAGGCCCATCAATAGCATTGTATATATATTCTAACCCAAGAAAGAACAAGTTGAACAAAAATCCTATATTCAGCAAAGCTAACTTTAAAAACAGAGGTGAAATGTAGATGTTTTCTGATAAATCAAAACTGAAGCAGTTTGTTATTAGCAGATCCACATTACAAGAAACACTAAAAGAAGTTAGTTGCCCAGAATCTAGACAGCAGAATAGTTTTGTCTGTTACTCATAAGGAGTAAATTCTAGCACCTTGAGTGGATGCTTAAAAGCAATTCCTATACAGACTATGCCCTTCCTATCCTTAGATACACAGTTTATTTACCTTTTTATTTTGAGACAAAGTCTTCCTGTATAGCCAGGTTCAAACATTCAATCATTTCTCTCCCACCATTTGAGTTCTAGAATTATAGGCATGTTCCACCTTGAGATACAAATTTAATGGCCTCTCATAGCAAGGCACTTAACAAACACCATAGCAGAAACTTGTTCACACAGAAATATGGTAGGAAAATATCACGGATTTCTAGAAGATAAATATAAGATGCTTTGTTTCCTTCTCTTTCTCCTACCTCCTTCTCTTTCAGTACTGTGAATTAAATCTAAATCCAAGCTCCTCCAAATACTAGGCAAGCACTTTATCTCTGTAGTTCGTTTAGTTTTTGTTTTTGTTTTGTTTTGTTTTTGTTTGATACAAGGTCTCACTGAGTTGCCAATGTAGGCCTTGAACTATCATGGGGTTTTGCTGTTTGTTTGTTTGTATCCAGGGCTGGTTTTGAATTCACTATGCACCTGAAGGTGACCTTGAACTTCTAAGTTCTCTGCCTGTACTTGCCAAATACTGAGCATACTGGGAGACGGATGCATTTGGCAAGCTTTGGAATTCCAATCTTCTACTTTAGACTCTGTTGTAGCTGAGATTACAAGCTTGCACCAACAGGCCCAGCTACAGGATTCATTCTTTTTGCATGACTTTTATTTATTTGTATTTATTAAAGTGTAGAGTTCAGAGGACAACTTTACAAAGTAAGTTCTCTTTCTGTGTTGTGGAAGAATCAAATTCAGACCAGGCAGTGATGGTGCATGCCTTTAATCCTAGCACTTGGGAGGCAGAGGTAGGTGGATCTCTGTCAGTTCGAGGCCAGACTGGTCTACAAAGTGAGTTCCAGGAGAGCCAGGGCTGCACACAGAGAAACCCTGTTTTGGAAAAAATGAAAGAAAGAATCAAATTCAGGTCAGGCTTGTAGAACAAGTGATGAACCATCTTATCAGCCATAGTTAACTGATTTAAGGTGGTTCTGCTTCTTCTAATAGTGGAGTATTATTACCTCCCAGAGAAGAAGAAAATTACATTACTTTCAAGGAAACAAATGAAAACAGAGAGAAAGCATCATATTAAGCAAAATATGCCATATATGGGCAGAAAAATACCACATTTTCTCTCCTGTGAAGAATCTAGATTACACACACACACACACACACACACACACACACACCATTAAGGTAGAGATAGGACTGTTAATAGACAAGAAGACCAGTAAGGCAAAGAATATGAGTAAAATACATGGTATGCATACATGAAAATATTGCAACAAAGGCCACCATCCTGTGCAGTGATTATGCACAAATTCAAAAATAAACAATAGAAAGTGGGGTCAGGTCGATGAGGGCATGATCGTGAAGAAAGAATCAGAACTTAGAACCCTCCCCTTTTTCTCTCTTTGCTTTCTAGTCACAGTGAGGTGAACAGATTTCCTCTGTGACATACTTGAACCGTGATTTACAATGCCATCAGAGTCTCATATCCATGAAACTAAGCAACCGTGCACTAAAATCTCTCAAAGCCCAAGCCAAAATAACCCTTTTCTTCTTCGATATGTTTTATCTTACACATTTTTCACAGAGACAGAACACACATTAACACAAAACATTTTGCC